AGCTAAGCCAAAAGAAATTAAAAATTAAAAACCTAGATGGATATAGAGTGGTTTAGCTAATTATCTTTCACGCTTGTCCTGCTACTTTTGCTCGAGTGTATGCGTGTGTGTTAGCGTCTATACGCAACTCTTGTACTCGAGTCTTCCCATAGGATTAACCGCTTTCTTTGAAATTCATTAAAAACTTAGGGGATTGCTTTGCTTAACCACGCTTCTCTTATTTAAGCTTAGTTACTACAGCTTATTCCACATCCGTGCACCGCCCAGATACATAATCATTCTCTGGAGACCAGAAGTTTTATACTTTTGCAATCTGACTTAGACACTCATTATCATTAATGAAATTTTATCCTTGTCTCCTTAGATATGACTTGCTTCTGACCTTAAATCTTTCCCAATTATCGTAGTATTTCTTAAGCTTCCAAATCTGTGGACAAAGAATAGGGGAAGGAAAATTCTCCACCTTATGTCGTTTAAAGAATGAAAGACTGATAGTGAATTTTTCCGCAGTGATGTGAGTAAGCCTCACGATGTCATTGAATGTCACTTAGCCTTGCCTCCCAAAATATATTCTACGGATTGAATCTTCGACCTCGCCTGGGTCTCATCAATGCTCCCAACGGAATTCGAATTAGTTTACTGCTGCGTTTTTCTTCAACTTTTTACCGTCACGCCACCTTACCATGGATCACAATGGCCGATAGGGTAGATTTAATTTCAAGCTTAGGTCTATCTCATATCACATTTTATAATTAAATTGTATACTAAGCAAATTTGTCGAAGGCACGAAGACCAAGATGGTGTGGTCTTTTGTATGGTTGCAGTTTCTTTTCGTTGTATAGAAGTTGTTTGATCTTGTTTTCGCAACTTGGTCGTGCTGTGGTACTGCTTACTTCGGTTAGGTCCAATGTTGAACTACAACGTTTGTGGGTTGGCACACAAGAGACTAGGGCATAGGAAGTCATAGAGTTGGTATCATAGATAGAAAGAGGATAGAAACAGTGGAAGCTAGAGCTAGTTAGCTAAAAATAGTCGTGATTCAAGGATCACTTATATGATCAAACACAACTATTTTTAATCGAAGATATAAGAACCAAGATGGTGTGGTCTTTTGTATGGTCGCAGTCTCCTTTGGTTGCATAGAAGTTGTTTAACTTTGATTTCGCAACTCTGTCATTTTGGTAGGAAGACTTAGAGGAACGCTTTTTGTCCGGAGTCCATTGTATGCATCATCATTTTCAGAGTAGGACCGTGGACGTCTACGTTCTATACAACTATATTTAACCAAATAGCTTTAGTCTACACCTCGTCTTTCCTATTTCTATCTGTGATACCATTTCCATCACTTCCTAGTTCCTAGTCTTGTGTACAACCCACAAATGTCGTGATTCTACTTGTTTTATTAGGCTCACTGAAGACGTCTCCTCTTTGCTTATGATTGTTCCTTTATCATCCACCTGCGTTATCTTTTT